TATATATATATATATATATATATATATATATATATATTATTTATTAAATTACCTTCATTTTTATACATTTCTCCATTTCTGGATCAGATGTAATACATAATGTCATTTTGTTAACAGAACAACGGCGCATTTCTAATATTGGATCTAAAGATTTACCTAAGTAACCAGTATACATTTGATCTTTTTCAGGTAATGAAACAAAATCCCGTGCTACATCCTAAAATTACACAATTTATATAAAATGAAAAATTAAAAAAAATAATAATATTTAAAAAATATATTTACAGAAAACATTAAATTATGATGCATTCCAAATGTAGGTGCTGATTCAAATAAATTGAAAGTTTCTATTGGCTGTATGTTTGTTGGTTCTGTTCTTTCCCATGCATACAAGTTATTTTCATCATAACTTTTTTCATATCCATTACGATTTTCAAAATTCTCTGTAGTATATTCATTTGTATTAACATATTCACTTCTGTTAAAATTTTTTTCACCAAATCTATTATTAAAATTAGATCGGTTTTCGAAATGATTATTATAAAAATCAATTGTATTTGTATTATTTTTCCCCAATACTTTGACTGCTTCTTCTAAAAACTTTTGATATAATCGACGGGTTTGAACTTTTGTAGCAGATGATGTAACTATAGCACGCGATGGAACTATACCCCAATTACAATATTCATATTCATCAATTGCTTTACGGGTACCATCTCGACAAAGCAATTCAAACTGTTCTTTCTTTACAGAATCTTAAAAAAAATTAACATTATTTTTTAATATTCTAATTTATTTTAATAATGATAATAGAATAAATTATTTTAATTAAAGACATACTAAAATCAAATGATGTTGATGTCATTTCATCTACAGTTGTATGTTGTAAAAATGCAATTTCTCCTACTTCTACTAAACATCTAAATGCTCCTTCATATCCTGCATAAGGATCCAACATTGTACATCTTCCTCCAGGTATTTTTCCAATACATAATTTACATAACTGATCCGAATTATCACCTAAAATTTAGAACTGCTATAATAAAATACATATATAGAAGGTTTATAAAATAATATTAATAACACAATATATTATTAATAATAATCTTAATTAAAATACACTTTACCAATTTTAATAAATTTAAAGTATATCATCAAAATTTTGAATAATTTCCTAAATTTAATAAAAATTTTAGTGAATATTGAATATATAGAGAATATATAGTAATAAATTATATGTAAAGTAATTCTTCTTCTGATAAAATATTATATATTTTAAGAAAAATATGTTTTTATTTTCTTAAATATGATAACTTTAAAATAATATTAATAAAATTGGATAAAAATTTTAAATTATAAAATATTCAGAATTTAATTATAACAAATTTTCAGGTAAAATCATATTCAAAACATGAAAAAATATTGAAATTTTAAGGATTGATTTTATTTCCTTAAAAATTTGTTTAAAAAAAAATTTCTTCTACACATATGTATTTTATTATGTTTCATATAAATACATGCAAATTTTATTTTTAAATATTAAAAATTTCAGCCTCATCTTTTGTATATTGTATAAACAATAAAAAAGAATCTACAATGCAATAAAATAAAATAAGAAACAGTTACATATTTGAATGCACACATATAGATAGAATTTAATGAAATAATATTATGAATATCTTGGAAACTAAGGCCAAATGCAATTATTTATAAAAAGTTGTTAAAATATTAATTTTAAAAATATAATTCAAACTCAAAATCTATTTTTTCTTATATCTAAATAATTATTATATTATTTTTTATCATACCTAATGGATTATATTTATCTATTAATGAATTTACAGCACAACTGGGTCCAAAGTATTTAATTGCAGATTTAACATGATTATTACAATCAACAACTTCTAATCCACCTTGTTTCATAAGCTATATAAAAAGAATTATTTATTTAATCAAATATATATTATATAAAAATATAATAAAACAAGTTATATTTACAGTATAAATTGGAATAACCCAACCAGCAAGCATTCCAAGACCAGCAAAACAAGCTTTTTTACCCCTTAAGTCATGTAAACTCTGAACATCTGATAAAGATCCTTTTTTAATAACTGCTACTGCATAATGATAATTCAGACCATTTTCATATATTTCTTGCATAAATGGGATTAAACTATGATAGCGTCCTGCTATAAAAGTTTCACCAGGATCTAAAGTTGTTATTTGTGCTTTTTCTTGATCCAACATAGTCATGCATTCTTCTTTATTTGATGCTTGTTTGCATTGCACAGAAATGTTTCTATAATTATAATGAAAATATATTTTTTCACGATCAACAGCCTTTGAAAATGCATTGCACTTATCTTGTTCAGCTTGGGATATTGTACACCATGTAATAGTATTGTTAAGATTCTGTCCTATAAGTAGATTTAAACTAGATTATTATTCAGTTACAATCAATTTTCTTTAATTATATTAGTTATTAGAATATATATATAATTTTAAAACACACTCGAATATAAAAGGTTAATAAAGAAAATAATAGTTAGTTTAACACAATTAAAGTATTTAAAAACAAAAATAACTTTTATACCATATATAAATCGATAAAATAAACTGAAAAATATTAAAGCTAGATTTATACAATTTTTGGATAGCATTTTAATTATTTTTTCATCTAAAAATTAATTGTTACAAAGACCACTCCCATCACCCATCAACATCACTCTGCACTTTAAAAACATACTATAGTATCATACTATCCTATATATATATTATTCATTGATACCGCTAAATAAATATATTGTAAAATATATAATTGTAACTATCATTCATTTTAAATTAAGTTAAAAATCAATGATTCATATATATAAATTTTTATATTTTCTTTCTTTATTTTTATTCTCATTCTTCATATATTTATTTATATTGTTTAAAAAACAATTATTAATGATAATATAATTATATTAATATAATTAGAAAAATATATTGATTATAGAAATTAATATATTTATATTTCTATATTTATTTTAATATATATCATTGTAATGTATGTAATATAATGTCATAAAACTAATAATAAATTTATCATAAATTTTTTGAATATTTTAAATTTTACTTGTAATTTATTCGTTTTTTATAAAACATTTTATTTATTAATTAAAAACAATATTAAAATATTGTTATTTGATGATTTAGAAATAAAATGTTAATTAACTAATATTTAATGTAAAAATATTTTTTTTATATATATTAATTCTTCAAAACAATAGAATAAATATAACATATTAAAAAGTTTACTAAAATTTAATAAATTTGGTTGTTTATATGTTGTATAAATCATAATTTAATTTATTATAATATTTCTTAAAGTTATAAATTAATTTTAAATAATAATAATAATTATCATTATTTTAATTATTTTTAAATAAATTAAGTTATTACAAGTTTAAAAAGATTATTTGTTTGAAATTCAAAAGAATTCAAAAACAAAAATAAATCTGTTATTTAAGATTTTCAATAATAAAACTTTTCATTTTTTTTCTAAATCATGTAATAGATAATATTTTTTTTTTTTCATTTTAAATATTAAATATTAAACATATATATCAAAGTATGTACTAAACACTACATAATTAAAAGTTAAATCTGATACATAAAATTAATGATGTAATATTACGATCCTGCTATTGTGATTCGAGAGATTTATATTTCTAATGATACAATGCACACGATCGTTCCGACTGTCATGTCGTTGCAAACTCGCAACGATATCGTGTCTTGTGTGTATCTATATAAATGATATAATTTGTTTTATAATATACGTAATTATTATTAGTGTCAGCATAAATCTTATTTGTTCATTCAATAGAGCAACATTGAATATACAATGATGTACGAAACAAATTTAAATACGTGTCATAATTATGAATGTGATCAAATAAAAAATATATATATTTTATATAAAAAATATCTCTTCGATTTAATAACTAATGAATCTACTGCAAACAAAGAAAAATGGTATTAAATAAAGATTGACTGTCAAATTTATTTAATAATCTATAAAAAAGTATGTAAGAACAAACTTTTATAAGTTACAATTGTTCAATAACTGAGTGTGATATCAAAAATCACATTTAATAAATCGATGCAACGATAATTTTCAAATATGTAAATTGCAATTCAATTTATATTAATTTTATTTATACTCTATTGTAAATAAGATAAAGAATAAAAAAATTAATATTTTATTAATTTTCTTAGATTAAAAAAATGTTACTATAATAATAAATCCTTTTTAAGACTGTTCAATGAATATCTTATGTGTTTTGAAATTTAAGATATTTTACTTAATTTATTATTCGGTATGGAAATAGTTTGGAAGAATATAAAATTTAAATATATATTTGCTTGTATTTTAATCACATTCATTATTTCATGTCTGATAAGTATTGCACCTATGAGTATTGGTAAGTTTATAATTTTAAAAATGAATTATGAAATATTTAACAATATTTTAATATAAAATAATATTTTAAAATTTTATAATTTTAGATGAATGCAAATGTGAAATAGTTACTCAATCAAATCAATATAATCATAAACAGCATAATAATGCTGTGAAAGTTTATAAAAAATCATTACATCGTTTAGCTATACTTGTGCCATTTCGAGATCGCTTTGAAGAATTATTAATATTTGCTCCTCATATAAAACAATTTTTAGATAAACAAAATATAGATTATCATATATTTGTACTTAATCAGGTATATTTTGATATAATTATTGATAAATTTAATTATTATTTAAATATAATAATAACATTCTTTTTAATTTTATAGATTGATAGATTTAGATTTAATCGAGCCTCTCTTATAAATGTAGGTTTTCTTGAAATTAATAAGGAATTTGATTACATAGCTATACATGATGTAGATTTGTTGCCAATAAATGATGAATTATTATACTCTTTCCCAAATAAGGGTCCTTTCCATGTATCATCTCCAGAATTACATCCTAGATATCATTATTCAACTTTTGTTGGTGGAATATTACTTATTAAAAGGTACTTATTATAACAATTATTTTTATAAAATACTAAAATATATATATAAATTACTGTAAACAAGAAAAATATTTTTACAGAGAGCATTTTATACAAGTAAATGGAATGTCTAATAAATACTGGGGATGGGGTCTTGAAGATGATGAATTCTATGTTAGATTAAAAGAAGCTGGTCTAAGTGTTATAAGACCACAAAATATATCTACTGGAACACATAATACATTCAAGTAAGATGCATATCTATATACAATTTATATATGCATTAAATATTAATATGAATATTTAAATTAACTATTATATAATTATTATTTATTTTAGACATATACATGATAGAAATCATAGGAAACGAGATATGATAAAATGTTATAATCAACGCGAAGTTACTAGAAAACGAGATCGTCAAACTGGTTTAAATAACGTTTCTTATAAAATATTAGGTACAATTACAATGACTATTGAGAATACTCCATTAACTGTTCTTAATATTTCCCTAATGTGTGATAAAATGATTACACCTTGGTGTGAATGTGATAAAGTAGCTGGATCCAAGGATGGAAAATCAAAGGAAAAAAAGAAAGTTATAAGTAATAAATCTGCTACTGGATTATAATTATTCTGATAAAACTTGTATTAAAAAAAAAAAAAGAAAATATATATATATATATATAATCACACATGTAATCAAGTGTATTTATTATTATACATTTTTTTCTATATGTATCCAAATGAGGCAAATATATTTTTTTTTACAATTTATAGTTATACTTTAAATACATTAGTAATATTACTATTTACTTATACGTTACATATCTTATATAATATAAATAGTTTCAATGATCACATATTAAGTAATTAGCATAAAATAAGCATAAAACTTAATTATGTAAAACTATTATTTATAATGATCATATGAGATAGTTATTTCAATTTTTCTATTCTTATTGTTTTTTAATAATATAATTTGTCTACATTTTTAATACTTTATTGATGTATAAATATTGTGATATCTTATTGACAATGATAAATATGAAAAGAGAGAGTTTGTAATAGATTTGTTTCTATTTTACTATTAACCTTTTAACAGTATAAAAAAATTACAAGGAATTCAAAATATATAAATTTAAAAATAATTATTCTTTTATTAATTCTAATATTACAGAAAGCATAATTTTAATTATTCAAAACCAATAAATTTTAATAATTTCATTGTGCATAATAAAATTAAATTTAAAATATGAAATATAATTATATAATTATTTTTAACAATTTATCTGTATTTCTGTAGAATTCACTGTGAAAAGGTTAAAATATAAATCTTAATTTCAATAAGTAAAATATATATAACTTTAAGATAGACCATTATGCCAAAAATTAATCATGAGCAATGATTTAATACTGCAATTCATTAATTAAAATGGTCTTTTATATTATACATGTATAATAATATTTTTATATATATTTACATTTGAAGTAAGAACATCAGATGATACTGTACAATAAATATAATTATTAAGAGCACAATGGTACATATAGTACAATGATAGAAGAATTTTTATCTAAGTATGACTTAATATTACAGTTCTTAAGATATAAAAAGAAAGATGATTTAAAATACAAAATTATGGCTACATAACTGCATTTAGTTGTAAAATGAAATGTTCTCTTAGTTCATTTGTACTAAAATCATCACCATCGTTATTTTCGTCAAAAATATCTTGCACAGTTCCTGTTACAGTTTCTGCACTTTCATATTCAGTCACTTTATTAACAGAATCTAAAAGTTCTGTGTCTTTTTCATCTATTTCAGATTCATTATTTATATCATGTGTTTTTTCTGTTTTAACATTTATATTTATAGAATTTTGTGCTTCATCTATATCACTTTTGTTGAGATCTGTGAAATCTTCATTAAGAATTCCTTTCCTCAAAACTGATAGTGGTGGTAATGGAAATCCATAAGAAAGCAATTTATCATATCCACTTCTTCCACAAACTTTTCTAATTTCTGTTGCCATAGATAAAACCTTTTCTGAAAATTCTTGTTTAGAAGTTTCTATTAACATTTCATTAAATTTGCTCATCTTCTCATCTAAAAGTTTTCTTCTTCTCATAATAGTTTGCATGTTTAACATTTTTCTTCTATAAGTATTTGTATTTTTCTCTGCTCTTTCAAGATATTTTGAGGCTTTCTCTAATTTCCAATTAAGTTCCTTTATTCGATTATCTTTTTGCTTAATTTGTCCTTCAAGCTTTCTTTTTTGTTGAGATTCCAATGTTACAGTTTTCATTAATTTCTTATTCATTTCTTCAAAATAATTCACTCTATTTGATAAATCTTCTATCAATCTTTGTTTAGATTCCAAATTTTTCTTATTAATAATTAAAGATTGTGTATTACTTGATCTTGTATTAATTCTAGAAGATTCCATTTCTCTGGTTAACATTTCATGTTCATTATTTTTATTTCTCATATTGTTTTCTAATTCTTTATAAATAATTAATTGATCAGTTAATTTTGTAATCACATCTTCTTGAATTTGTATTCTTTCTAAGAGATCTTCATAATCTGAAGAAACACAACCAGTATTATTTTCCATGGAAGTTTGTACATTACAATTTTGTAATGGTGAATTAATCCTCATCTTATGTCTTTCTTCTTCATCAGAATATATATGTTTAAAACAGGAAGAATATGTTTTAGAACTATGGATTGAATTTAAATTTATAACTTCTTCACAGGGAGATTGATTCATATATATTATTGATGCTTTTTTAGAAGTTATATAATCATCCTTTAATAATGGATTATTAAAATCTCCATTAATAATTCCTTGAAGATTTTTAGGTGATAATACTGTTATAACAGATGTGATAACTGTATCATCATCTTCATTTTTAGAAACTGAATTAAATTCTTTTGATATTTGTGTTCCTATTGTATTAGATGATAATTCTTCAATAATTTCAGTCACATCATCAGGGTCACCAGTTACTTTGATAACAAATTTAGCAGTTTCTACTTCTATATCATTTTTAGAAACATCATTTATATCCTGTGAAAGTAATGATAATTCATTTCTGATTTCTGTGTCTTGCTCAGATAATTCACTATTGCTTGAAGAATTAACATCTTGATCTGAAGTACTTCTAATTGATTTTTTTATTGATTTCATTATTTCTTCCCTAGTTCTTCTTTTACGTTTCATAGCTGCTCTTATATTTGGTATAACATGTACTTCATCTTTAGTGAAATTTTCTTCTATATCCTCATTAAAAATCTTTTTTTCATCTTTAATACTTATTTCATCATGTTTCAAAGTATTATTATCCATTTTATTTATTTTTGGTATATTTTGAGACATAGATGATTTTTCATCCCCACTTTCAGTACCAAAAATTATTTCTACATTTTCTTCTTTCTCTGTAAGTATATGTCCAACTTCATTTTTTTTTGATGAAACAACTTTATGATTATCATTAGTATATTCACTATTTGTATCCATTTTTTCTTCAATTTCATCTTCCTTTTGATTTTTAATCTTTAATTTTTTCTCATTTTCATTTTTATAATTATCATCTTCAGTAATTCCACCATCACAAATCTGTTTTAATTTTTCTTCAATTTCATCATAGCTATCTTCAAATGTATTATGATCCATAACTTCTATTTTAATTTCATTTTTCACAGTAATGGCTGGTATCTGGGTAGTTTCTGAATTTTCCATAATTAAGGACAATCCAACTTCTTTTTTATTATCATTTGATTGTACTTCAAAATTATATTGCTCCATTAAACTATTAATATCAGTAAGATTATCTTCAGCAATCATTACAATATTTTGTTTTTGATGATCAACATTAATATTCTCTTCTTTTTTAGTTCCTATAGATTTATAGGTAGATTTAAAATTACTTTTAATAGATTGTTCTATAGATGGTTCAGCAGTTTCCTGAAAATCCAATTCTTTCTCTTCTAAATGTTCAATATCGTTTTCCATGTATTCTATATTATATTCACCTTGTAATATGTTTTTACCTATATTATCAAATTTAGTTCTTTTTTTAGGAGATTTCCTAGTAGATGTCACAGTAAATATGGAAGGAACTGCATTTTTTTTCAATCTAATTCTTCCACTTTGTGTTATAGACCACTCTTGAGGTTCAAAGTGTACGTGGCAAAGAAATGAGTTATTTGATGGTTCCCAATCAGCTCTAGCAACACGTTCTTGCCAAACTTTCCTTAATTTTGGATCACGTGGAAAACATTTCATAATATAACCTTTTTCACTACGATTGTTGCAGCCAACTGCTGCACATCCTGGCATATTTAGACATCCAAAAATTGTTAAAGATTCTGTAAATTATAAACAATGAATTTATAATATAAGAGTAAATTGAATAATTCATTTTCATCAATCTAACCTAATTCAGAATATACATTTTCATATATATGAAAATAATTAAAATAATTAAAATTAATATTTATTTTTATAAACAATATGTATTAATAATTTAATAAATAATTTTATATTGCATTAAAGAAAACTTTGAAGATAAAAATATATAACAGATGCTAAAAATATTTATAATTTAATTTTTGGATAAAAAAACAACGAAAATGTAATTAGAAATACTCCTTTATGTAAATCAAACCTTTGTTCTTGAGTCGTAACTAGCGTTTTTATGTCAAATAATATTTGAAAGAGTGTAATGGATCGTATACAAAACATTGTAAATATTCTATTTAACAATGCGTTACATTACGTTTTATTAAGAAATATGTTTAAAAATTACTAATATATATATATATATATATATATATATATTATATTATATATATTATTATGTAGCTTTTGTTAAATTATCTCGAAATATCTCGAAAATAGTTAAATTTAGTTAATTAAATGGAAATAAATATTTTTTTGCACACTATAATTCTTTTGCCGGTAATATACGATGGAAAAGAAGGCGAAACTTGTTCTCCTTATTCACCAACTCTATTCGCAGTTCATTGTTACAAGTTATAACTTACAATTTATAAATTTACTAATATATTAGTTATAAATTATGAAAGACTGATATTAATAAAAATTTATATATTTTATTCAATAAATATAATTAAAAAAAAAATTTAAGAACTAAATCCTCAAACCATGAATTTATATTGCACTGACAATAGTAAATTCATTTTGAGATAAATTTCGAGCTCGCTACGCAATCGAAATGTTCCAACGTAATATGGCTACCCAAAGAATTGAATAATAAATAGGTTAATTATTATCTTCTATTATCGAAATAAATTAAATATACCTCTATCTACATTATTAATAATAACATCTATATTAATTAATCTTATTGTATATGCCTCATAAATATTATTTTTAACTCACTCACATATATTATCTTTATTAAAAAATCTAAAAATATATAAATTCTATAATAACTTATACAATATATAAATTATTAATTATATTACATTTTTCAAAAATTAATCAGATGAATTATTTACAAACACATATTTTTATATTCATTATACATGATGTATTATATCTATCTTTTCATTTTTTTTTCATTACTTAAATAACATTAATATTTTTTATCTTGTTTTATATCAATATAATCTAGATTATTACCAAGTTTTTAAA